GGTAATACCTGCAGTCTTGTGACCACTGACTCGCGATATCTGTTAAAACGGTACTGATAAAACTGTCAAGTAGAATCTTGATTGTGTATGAACCTCTTTAAAAACCCAAATGGAGCTAATCCGGCGTCCGTATAGTTGCGACCTTCTGGAAGCACATGACCTAAAGATTTTGAATCGTGGGGTGGGTTACAAACATTTTTAAATTATACTGTTCATTTTATTTTTTATAAAATAATACAGTTTTTTATTATTTTTTACATTATATTAATAAATTATTGTTATTTAGCCACGATGAAAATCTAGTCTGACTAGACATTATAATCATAATAATGAAAAAATAATTATTTTTTACTTGATTAGCTTCTTTTTTAAAATCCATTTCGTAAAATTACTTCCAAGGGTTTTTTGTTATCATTCTATTAATAGCTCAGCTCTTGATGACTGCATAATACATTTGAAAAAAAATACAAACGCTTTTTTTATACAATTGATGAATTGCTCGTATAACCCTGCAACTTTTCATATTAGCCCGGAGCCCGGAGATTACCTCGGAGACTCGGGGTCAAAGCCTGGTTGTGGGAGTGTTTTGCACCCCTGGCGGGTGGGTCGCGTGGCACGGGCCCCTGGCTCGCGGAGCGCCGCGCCGCGTCGCCCAAATCCAGCGCTTCATGGGCGCCCGCGGGCAGGGCGACGGCCCGAGGCGCGATCTGGTCGCGATCAACAACCACTTAATGGCCGCACTAATGAAGTTATTATCCGAGGGCGCTGCCTGCGGCGAGGCAAGGGATTCGCGAGGCGCGGCGCGGCCCGCTACTTTTTTTTTTTTTTACACAGAACACGGATCTACAACTGCGCTTCCCCGCTGGGCGACAACCGGCTGAGAGATGAGATGGAGACATGATATTCCCGCTCTGCAAAAGTTTCTTCTGTGTACGTGTCTGGGACAGAAAGGTCCAACAAGTACTAGAAGATCCTGCCGAAAACTCCCATGGCTCTTCAAGGATGCCATCTTGTTGAATCAAATATATACATGAAATATTTAAAATATAATTGCAAAATATGAAACTACTTTCTCAAAAAATAAAATAAAATACAATAAACATCTACTCAATAAAAACGTAAAACCTACTTCGAAATATAAAACGCACTTAAATATAACGAATAATTTCTAATATATAATTAGTTGCATTTATTTGAGTGAGTTTTTATATTTCAAAGTCAGATTTTCATTTTTTTAACTTTTCAAAGTATATGGTGCAAAACAGTAAATTCTTATAGGAGAAGGTGCAGAGATACTTTATCTACAAGACGAAAGGTTTACCTGGTGAGCGTCAATAGAAATGAGTAAGGCACCTGTCTCGATCAGATAAAGTCGTCGGGTGTAATATTTCATTTCATTCCGAATTTTGGTAAAATGCAAAATTCGGAGCGGAATTTTTTCTTCTTCTTAGTGTAATTATTCGACAACTGCTAATCTTTTTTAAGTGTATGACATCATTCAAAAAATTAAAATACAAGGATAAATTACAATGAGAAAGAAATTTCCGCATTTAATACTGGATTGCTTAATTGATTATTTCGAGTTTCCATGATTATTTTATTAATTTAAAAAATTATGATAAATTTCTTTAAAACATCAGGAGAAATTCTTGAAGTCCGTAGCCTTCGGGAGCCTTCCGGCCGACCTGAGACAATAAGGCGGCAGCAGTAGGTGAAAAAGCGTAAGCTTTCAAAGAAGTGGGTGCAAGGCAATCAAGCGTACACGGTGAATCAATTTCATTTAACGAATTGTACATAGTATTAGCAGTTTATATAGTAATGTGAAACATTCAATGGAAGGAAACAAAGTGCAACTTTCAGGAAAATGTATGTTATTTGATACTGATACTGATACGTACTCTAAGTCTATTAAGACGGGATATGTACATTGCTATTTGCTTAGAAACTTGCTTCTATTTCGATTTATTTAGTCAAAAACACAGTAAAAACTGTATGGGATGTTTGGGAGAAAACATAATCTCCCTAATTATTAGTTAAATAACAAAAAAACCGGCTAAGGAACACGAAATAATATTTTAATCCATTATTTTCGAATGAATTAATGACGAAGCGTTGTAGCAAGCTACTAAAATACAAATGGCAACTACTGTATTACAATATGTGATATATGGATATTTACGATGCAGGATGAGATTGACAGAGAGAAAGATGATCGGTGTAAGTTAATCTCTACAAATTACTTCAGCTCGGGAGCGATAGGAAAATGAGCTTATCCGACTTTTGACGGATGGTCGCCTGATATTCCTAATGGCTAGATTGTGTGGTTTAATTCGCCTCTTATCTGACACTACGTTGATCACCGTTCGGTAGCGACCTTCAAAAACAACCCCAGCGACAGTAACGCCGTCGCTTGGCCGACAGCTATTGGGATTTCGCCGTGGCATGACCTCGAATTATTTACTCGAATATTTGAGCAGCGCATTAACACGGGATCCCGGCAGACCGATTGGAGGCCGTTAAGATGTCACCGATAGGGCGTGGCGTTATTAACAGTCGCCGGACATGCTCGAAACTTATTTGGCTCGATTCGTGTCGTGCCGAAAGTCGTTTGATTGTTTCGTTGCACACTGCGTGAGATTGGGAAGTGCATATATTGCTGTGAAATTATGAACGTTCCTTTGTCCAAGCGCTGTCCTGCATTCTATGCGAAAATAAATATATTTTACGTAAATTCAAAGGTGTTGTATGCTTGTTCAGGGAAGTAGATGAGTTGATAGAAGGATTAGTAGAGCCCGTGAAATTAATGCCTCATAGTTTGTGACGATATGTATACAAAGGCAATGATGAATTTCATTTAAAAATCACCTGTCAGAAAAGAATTAACTTTGCTCTTTTTACATAAACACGAGAAGGCGAAGTGGCTGAAATTCCTGACGGTATTAACTTAATGAGTGCATTTATGCACGCCAGACGATTGTGATGCAAACGAACAAGTAGTAACATGATATCTTTTATCTTTTAAAATAGGGAATAGTACTACAAAATATAATTCTATTGATTACTGTATTGTTTAAGTTCCCCAATAGTAAACGTTTTAATTTTTCAAAATTACTTGTTTTAGTTGAGTATTTTTCAGATTTTCAGTAATAAATTGCACTCGAAGCAAGGGGAGAGAGCTAATTCACATTGCGAGCTTACGAAATTACATAGATTCTTTGGATAAGTACTGAAACTTTACAAGACTGGTGAGAAAAATTGCGCCTTCTTTAAATTAGATACGTCATGAAAATCAACTATAGAAACAAGGAAAAAGTGATAAGAAATATCAGGAACCCTAAGAAGTGTATTTTAATAAGACATTCTATAGGGAAGGAGAAAAATGCTTGTAACATCAGATCTTGAATGCGTTTTTCGATAAGGGTTACTTTGCAATGTTAACGCATTTTCTTAGAACACAAATTATTGAAAATTTCGTGAACAAAGTTGTTTTAAAATGTTTTATTTTATTAATTTAAGGTCCCCTTGTAACTACAATATTTGTGATAAAAATAAGGAGCATCACAAATAACTCATATTTTAAACAAATTATACATTTGATTACACATATACATATTATTACACATATTTCACCGAGAGAAAATTGCGCAAATAGTTTCTTCCAAAATTGCATGTAATCTGATAGAGTTCAGGAAATGGGTTTGAGCTGTAGAGGATAAAATGAATGGCATAGAGAGGTCGTTTGCAGGAAAAGTAAGTTGTTACTCTAGGAGGCACTGATGTAAGCGCTTGTGGCGATAAGAGCGACACTGGTGGAAGGTGATGGAAACACCTACCAGAATACTGCGTGTACAGAAATGGTCGGCATTAGTGGTAGCAAATCTTGTGAAGGTAACTGTTTGGTCTGGTCCGACCTGAGAAACAAATCGAAGTATAAAGTGAAAGTAATTGAATTTGACTACAGTAAGGAAACAGAAGGTACGTGTAGAACCTACTAACAAATTATTCTTGGATAAGAGAGGGTATTTTCTTGTTAGATGTTAATTAAAACAAAAAGGCGGCGATCCACTAGTTTCTCTCTCGAATTTGGTATGGGAAAAAACTTGAACCTTTCTTTTCGTCTTAAACTTTCTACAGACTGGAACAACAAAATTAATCAAAGACCATAATTTTAGTTATTCTCCTCTTATTCATTAAATATAAAATATGTGAAACCGGTGAAGTTGATATGTGGTTGAATGGCTTTTCAATTCATTTTATTTTATGAAATGAAATAAACGCAAAATTTTGAGGCGTTAAAATTAAAAGTCTTTATTGAAATTAATATCTATCACCAAGCGATATATCCGATAGGAACCCCGATTAATATCAGTATTGCATTTTTTAATTATTACTTCTACTAATAACTTAATATCTTGTGATGTCTGATTGTATTTGAACTAATATAGTTTCAGAATGACACTATTAGGACGTTACATTTTCTGATTACTTTTATTTTTGTAGAGAAAGTGCATTAAAAGCATTGTAGTATCAAATATAAATGGTGACGATGATACTAACTACGAATTTTCTTTTTGCAACATTTTTGGGGAGGGAAAATTATTTATAAACAAAGCAGTCATGAAAAAGTGGTAGTGAGAGTAACGGCCATATGTGTGTGCTCAAATAAAGGTCGAAACCGGCGGTTGTGCTGGATATGCAAGGAACTAAGAATGTTTGCAGAGACTGAACGGAAACCCTCCGATAGATCACGTGACGCTCGTGCTAGAGCTACAGCCGCGGCGATTGAATCGGGAGATGTAACCCCTCCGATTGAGAGAGTAGGAGAGAGTTGTGGCCACGCTCATTGAGAGTGCTGGCGCGAGTTCTGGCTACACCGATTGAGAGTGTTAGCGGGAGCTGTGGCTACCCCGAATGAGAGCGCTGGCGGAAGCTGTGGCTACTCCCATTGAGAGTGCTGGCGCGAGCTCTGGCTACACCGATTGAGTGTGTTAGCGGGAGCCATGGCTACCCCGATTGAGAGTGCCGGCAGGAGCTGTGGCCACGCCGATTGCGGGCGCAAGCGGAAACTGCAGGAGCTCCGACGAAGGCGACCGCGGGGAGAATTCGGGAGCCGCGGGGGCCGCGGAGGGGCCGGCCCATTAGCATGGCGTCGCGTGCCGCTGCATCCGCGGCGGCTGTCGCGGGCCCGGGGCGGGCTCGGGGCGGTCGCCGCCGCGCCAGCCGCATTCCCCTGCGGGAAGGTCACGGCCGCCGTCGCTTCGACCGCCCTGCCGCTGTCAAGGGCGCGCTGGCCGGGCCGCTTCGCCAATTCAGCAAATAGTGGCGTTATTTATCTTTCCCGCAGGCTCTACTTCCAGATTCGATTCGTGGCTGTGTAGTCGAATTCCCACAGTACTGCCGAGGGTTTTCTTGTAAACAGGGAAAGATCCATGTCTTGCCTAGTAGTTGTTACCTTCGTGTCAATGTGTCACCAATCTCTCTCAACACGTTATCCACATCAGTGAAGAATGCAACCAAACAAGGACTGGTTACACTGTATGTTTGGTTGGTTAGCACCGAATTATTGAAAATAAAATTATAGAATGTTTCTCACGGTATTTAATTATAAGCTGTGATGACATTCTATTTTTTAACAACCAATTCTCTCCAACAATTTGCAATAACTTCTATTTTTCAATAGAATAAATGGTTCATTATAGGAGGTAACATGCTTCTACAGCAAAGTTTTAATGAGACAAGTTTACAGATGAATGGATGCAATAATTTAAAAACTAAACAATTTTACCTTAAGGTTACAAAAGTGATCAGCAAGCTACTTGATGCTGCGAATATTTTTTAATCCTCTTCTTCCCGACGCGTGTGTCAGCAACATATCGGTAGATATCGAAGATGTAGTCATGATTTCACAAAATTAGTCTCGTCCCAATCAGCAAGAGGATCAAAACATGAGAGATGGTCCAAACCAGAAATATGTTACTTAGATCTACAATAATTTTAACATCTTGATTGTGATAAATTTCAACTAGTTCTGCGTATCACAAAACTTTTAACCGGTTGTGCGAACTACAACATACTGCCTACCGACTGAATGACCACTGATTAATAGAGATAGTATTAAAAATATTCAGAGGTTAATGAATGTGGTAAATTTCCAATTTTGTCACTTACTTCCAACTTAGTCATGATACTGAAACGTTCACTTTCAATTTATATACTCATCATCTTCATTATACTGAAACTTTCAATTTATTTTATGTAAAGGACATAAGCACACGCATACATTTCTTCCCTTTACAATGCATTTGACTATACCAGCTGCCAAAGCGCAGGTAAAATATCATTGCATCTACAGTACTGTTGACCAGGAAGATATAAGAAACTGATTTTCGGTGCTAACTACAAATAGATTAGCCGTATTCAGTTACTTTCTGGAAAGGAATTCTAGCAGCCGGCTGCCCTTATCAGTAGTTTTCCGTTGTTGTTTTCTATGAACAATATTAGGCTAATGCCGGAGTAATTCCCTACCAAACTGTCCCCGTGCCAGGAAAGATGTTTCCTCTCTTCTCCTTGTCCTCTTCACACCTCTTTCGCGTACACAATCGTACGCCTACATCACACAACTACCACACAGGTCGTAGAGCGTGTCCCGTCAGGGGCGTTGTCTCACTGAAAGAAATACCTAGAGAGTGCAAGTCGACGTGTAGGGCAGCGTTGGACTCGCTTATCATCGGTGAAGGAACACCACTACATCCCGAGTTATAACGTGTACACTTTGCGGGACTTAAGTAGCTGAAACGCTTGGAATCAATACTCCCCCACTCACGGCTCATTGGGGGAGGGGGGCTCCAGCTGTTTAGCTCCCCGCACACTGGGATGCGGGTAAGGTGAAAAAGGAAGAGTACCCTGCCTATTATTTAAGATTATGTTTCAGCATCCCCCGAAACTTGATTGGAGATATCCGCGGAAACGATGTGAGATTTGAGCAGCCGGATTTAAGACTTTTTATCCCGGTAATAGCACCGTCTGACGCTTGGCCAATCCATACAAAGAAATATTCAAATGGGAAGATCTTCCCCGTTAACAGGGCCGGATTTACCTACAAGCAAAACAAGCAGTTGCTTGGGGGCCCCCATTCACCAGGGGCCCCGCGTTTCGTAAAAATACGCATACCATATTTTTTTGTCTGTGAAATAATTGTTAATCAAGTAGTCTACTGTGTAACAAAAGTAAAAATTTCTATAAAAATTATCAATTTTCATTTGTATCTGTACAGAAAGTACTTGTACTATAATACATTTTTTTATTGAATAAAGATGGAGCTATTTTTTCGGGAGGGGGGCAACACAATTTTGTGCTTGCGGTCCCGCTCTACTTAAATCCGGCCCTGCCCGTTAAATCGATCTTTCTTTTGTGGACTCATTTGAGAGTAGAAAGATCACCTTCTGTGTTTCTTAGATGAATTATTTTCCAACTCACGAGCTCAGTGCCAAAAGGTACAAACTTTAGTGAATTCCAACTGTCTTTCAGCAAAATTTCCTTGTAATTCACACTACTTCACTCGTTTTGTTTTTCAAAATTATTTTTCTGTAAAACTGCTCATTAAAAATGCTCAAGATACCTCAAATGTTTAAATGAAACTTCATGAGCAAAAATATCAGAAAATACGCAATTTAATGCTAAAAATAGTGAGGAACCTAAACAGGAAAGTGTTTGAAAACATTTCAATAAATCGTGCGTCAAAAGAAAATATGAATATTCACCACATCAAATAAAGAAATGCCGAACCTTTTCAATAACTGAGCTAATGGGGATTATGTTTTTTATTAATGGTTCATTTGATTAATTAATGCTTTAATAAATATTTCTTATAATGTTGCATGCTATTTTTATATTTTTCTTGTTGCTAAATAGGTATTTTAGAATATAAACTGAACATTATGAATTAATTTTCTTAGTACTACCACATACATATACTATTGTTAGCTTCCACGTATTGCATGGAAACATTCCTAGAAACCAGTTAGGATGCACCCAAAGGTGGCAGTGTCGTGGGGATCTCGGGTCGAAGGATCTCGTGTTCGAATCCCACCTCGGGGACGGATGTATTTGTGAACGTACCTTCACCATCATCATCCTATCACTTCTCTAAAGAAGGATTAATAATTTTCTTTGCGAGCAGGAGACTTTTGCCCTTGATGGGGTGTGCAGTTGGCTAATAAAACAAATTGTGGCAATGGCTCGCTTTGGGGCTACGGGGGCATACTTCGAGCTTGTCTGCGCGTCGGGAAAGGAAAGTATCACCCTACACTCAGAAGGCAGTGTAATAGAATTTTACGAAGTTCTCGATAATTCACAACTTCCAAATTTAATAGATATTGCTGTTCGAATAATATCTATGTATGGTCGCAAATATGTATATGAACAAGCATTTCTAATAATGAAATTGCTCAAAAACATGCAGGGTTCGATTAAGTATTGAAAATTTGAGAAATTGTTTACGAATTTGTCACTAGAACCTGACTCGCACCGTACTCTTTGTTTGGGATTTCTAGAACCCGACATTACCAACGTGGAATCGAATGTAAATAAGAAGATAGGCACAAAATCAAAATCAAAATATAAATAAAAATAACAACAACAACCGTTCTTAAATTTATTTATCTAAATTCCGCCTAATCGTATTTCATGTGTAAAGTGCAAAAGCGATCAGGGTGACTGCCTACTGCTCTCTTGTGGCGAGGGGATCAACTGCGTGGAGGGGTGATTTCATCTAGCCAATGACTCCAACTCGTGGCATCGACCATGACCTCACTGCTTTAGAGCAGGCAAAACAGTACAGCTTGCCCAACTTTTCGAGTTACATATTGTGAATATTGTTAAAAGATTTCAGCGCTGACTCTTGCTTTCATCGTTCATAGGGCTGTAACTTATGATGATGTCATTCGTGTAAGTGAAGAATTGTAATGCGCTTGAAGCGTGCTCTGTCAAACGCAGTGAGCTCTAGTGTCACACTCGGCTCCAATTAATTCGTAGGTAAGCCAGTAGAGCCCAGCACAAATCAGTGCCCGCGGCATCTTCCTGCTGCTTAGTGAGACAACTATGAGTGCAGCAAAAGTCTAGTTTTGGCGGTTTTGTGCTATTTGTTTTGTTAAAAGACAATTCAAGGGGTGTTTCAAGTGACTGTGGAGTGTGGATGTGTAATGGACACTTATACGATTCGGCCATTTCAGAGATGTGTCAGTGAAAGTATAAAGATTGTAAACGAAGGGCGACCATCTCCTGTCTTACCCAACATGCAACACGAATGTGAGTAGAAGTAATATCAGACGTTTTCAAAGAAATCCATACAAGTTTTGTGGTTAACAGGATGCGCTAATAACATTAAGTAATATTGCTCACCTATTTTATTTCCTGTAGAAATATCAAAATCTATTTTGCAAAATTCTGAGTATTGTGATTTAAACAATCTGGCACAATGCTATGAAAGTAAAATAAGAACGGTTGCTGTTGCATTTCTTCTAAAATGTGTTAAACTTTTTCATTTTTAATTATCGCAAATGTGCGTTTTATTTGATTGGCAGGTTATACTATTTAATAACAATTTGGCAGGTTATACTATTTAATAACAATATTTTTTGTGATATTATTATTGAATAATATTTTCGTCTTTGAAAATTTTGGTACTAGATAGCACGGATTGACTCCCTACCCACCAAAATACGACATGCTTCGCCGCAGCTGGAGACTTATTAAGACGTTTCGTTATGAAATGGAGTGTTAAATTTATAAAATAGATCTTTTTCCGTTTTTTCTTTAATATTTTATTTAAGTTAAAAATGTCCTTTACGAAAAATAGTCATACTAAATAACCCTTGTGCATTGTAATTTCTGGATATTTATTGCAACTTCGCAATACATTCTTGTTATTACTTATGGTAAATATTATAATCTCATTTTCTCATCTCGACAGTGTACATATTGTAACTTTTAAAAGCTATTCTTGTTACCTCAAGAAAACTTAATTTACTTGCTGCGTGTGTTTGCAAGAGCCAATCATGTGCAACAACGTTAGTGAGCATGTCTACGCACGCATAAACATGCACGTAGCTGTTTGCCTACCACCCGGGTTCTGTTGCAATACCCCGTTATCGCTTTGCGCTGATGATTTTTCATTTTGCCATTCGTGATACAACTTGATCTAAGAATCTCTAGGTTGTTGGTAGGAGACGTAGTTGAAACATTTCCTCCGTGGCTCTAGTACATTAGCTTGACAACATTATAAGTTAAATTGTACGAGAAATATTTTTCTTATGTTTTATGAAAACAATACGTAACTGAGCCCAAAGAAATGAAGGGCCAATTGCAAATATTATTATTAATTTTATCGATAATTTCTCGGAAGGATAGTAATAATTACATTTTCATACTGTATTTTGAAAGAATTTAATGTGTTGAAATCTAAGCAGGATCCTTCCAGAAATTGAAATTAGGTTGTCTTTAAATTATTTCTTCTTTCTTTTCTATTTTGGTCTTATATCTGTATCAATTATTGCTAAAATTATTTAGCAAATTATCAAAATCTATAATTTTAAAACTGTATTTCAATTTCACTATTCGTTAATGGTTAAACGGTTTGATCAGACCCAAGAAAGTTAACTATGAAAATCTGAGTCATTATTATCATTAAGATATTTTATCGCAATTTTTAAAATATTAATGCAAAATAATTACGCGCTTATCATTTTCACACTAATTGAGTTTAATTCATTTTCTGTATCGTCTAATCTGAGACAATCATTGGTATAGATTAATCGAAAAAAAAATTAAAATTACGTGGAAAAAGGTAAATTAATATTAAAAGTACATGTTACACAAGCATTTTAATAAAATTCCAATACATGTGTTTTCATTCAAGTGTTTTCAATTAATCTCCAAATAGCAATTAAAAGATAATCAATAAAGATTAACAAGTGATATAATAGTTATACATAGAAAAGAGGAATTGCGCATGCCAATGAAAGAATTTGTGAAGAATATGAGTTCTAAAAGGTTATCGACACCTTAAACTCTCTAAACATTCATCTTTAAAATCTTTGTGTAATAGCTTAATATGAAGAAAGATAACAAAACACACTTCATAATTATGAGGCTAAATAAAATATTCCTATATTACTTGTGAAGGAACAATAGTAGCTTGGGATACTTTTTACCGTAATTTTTGTTTCGGTTAACAAAGATTGCAATATATATATATATATATATATATATATATATATATATATATATATATATATATAGAGAGAGAGAGAGAGAGAGAGAGAGAGAGAGAGAGAGAGATAGTCAATATGACCACTTTTTTGTAATATTGGTATTTTAAGATTGTAGCATTACGGCGCGCTCACATGCAATCCAAATAATTTAAACCTTTAATACTGTACAGTGGTTTGAGGGAGATAATGCGGCCCAATTCATCTACAGCCACCCGATGGTCATCACAAATCGACTTGCCGAATGTTGCGCGGAGTGACTGCAGCCACCGACCTGCCGCTCCGCGTCGTCAGCCAATGGTGTTTGTTCTTCTGATTCGTTACAGCGACAAACCCATGGCCTAAAAGTGCTGTCAACCTCTGCTTCATCACCGTGAACATTTTTCAGCCTTTCATGCATGCGATTGGGTATTTCACCTTCTGCATTCAGGAATCCCATCACACAACGCTGTCGATGTCGGCCATTTTGTTAGCGACTGCTGTGCTGCCGCACGTTGTCGCAGGAAGTTGCTACTACAGTGGATTTTAGACGAAGGTTTGAGGAATAGTGTCTAATTCAATGTTTTCACTCAACTAATTTTGTTTAAGTGTGTGTATGTATATATATATATATATATATATATATATATATATATATATATATATAATTCTTAGTTTGTTACTAACCCTTTTAGTTTTCGCTTTTCTAATTGCTTGTCTAATTGCGAACTGCATCGACCAGTATCAAGCCTGTCCTGGAAAGTGATCGGAGGCCATACTCAATGGTAGGAAAAAAGTATTTCGACATCAATAAAAGAATTCCAAAAATCTTGACTGGTGTCATCTTCCATTTTTATTTTGATTTTTTACTTCTGGAACCTCCGCTTGCACAGACAGAGAAATTGAGACAGTGCCTTCGTATTGTCCAGGCCTGAAAGTGTGTTTCCAGCTTGTTCATAATCGGTTTGAAGAGAAGAATGTTAAATAGTTAGGCTAAATTGAAGCAAAATATCAAAAATTATCATCAGATGCTGAAATAGTAAAAAGAAAAGAGGAAATCTAAAACCACTCCAGAAATACAATTAAGTAATTCCTATTGATAAAGTCTTGAAATCGTAAAAATAATTAAAAGGCAAAACCAGAAACTAGTGTGGGTTTATGTGTATTAGTGTATGATGTGTTAAATACACTATTTTCTCACTTATTGTGGCCTGAATAGTTCTTTCATACGGCTTTAACAAGAGCGCATTTTGCCAGACTTGTGTCCTCGCTTTATCAAAGCAGCGAGCGCCCCAAGCGCCTGCGCTGTCGCCGGGCGCAACCGCCGTCGCCCGCCAGCCCCTGCCGCAGACGTGTGTGTGTCGCAGCCGTAAACCTGGACGACTCGTCGCCGCCGCTCTGCGACCGACCAATTACCTCATTAGGACTCGTTAATAATATGTATAAAGCGCAGGCCCGGAAGGGAGAGTAATTACTAAATTGGGTTTCTAAAGACGGCTTCCACACAACCCACAACACGTCGCTTGCGTTAAACGATGTTTACTTTGTGATATGATCGAGTGGGATGCAGGATGGCGTTTGTCTCCCTTCGTGAGTCGACGAGGAGATGGGACGGTGACAACCTGTGAGGATAGGTGCGTGTGGGAGGGAATCGCGTTTGTATTGGCCTTCTGGGGAAATTGTTCTATTTTGCTGTTGTGACTTTCCTGGTGTTATCGCCAAACGTATCATCAAATTTGAATGGCAGGAGCAGTTATTAGTATATTTAAACTATCACAAGTCTATCATCTGGCGGCAGTAGTCTCAATTCGGTGGGCTAAACTCATGGTTCATTGGGTGAAATAGTACGGTTTTAAAGCTGTTTTAAATTAAATCAACGACTTTCATGCAGATAGTTCTCTGGTACCATAAGGGTCATCGAAGTTATCGGAACGGTGTTAGTACAATAAAACCAGCGTACCCGCGTGACATCTCGCACATTGAATCTCACCAAATTTACTATCCTTCCATTTTCATACTGAGCCCTTAAATATAATTTAATACAAATACATTTTGTGTAAAATTGTAAAATTTATTTAATAAATAAGCCTTTTCATAAAAATGTTGTAGTATTCTTTTAAAAAAATTAGGCCATTTTTCTCTTACTTTTTAAGTCATTTTGTAGGTCATTTTCAAAGAATTCTTAGACCATCAGAACCCAAACCCTGGTCTTTAATATAATAGCGAATGGTCACATGAGTCACGTGAGCAACCGGTGAGATGTGTGACAATTGTGGTTTGCGTGATGTGAGTTCAATTACCATCATACATTTGTTTGCATTCGAGAAGTGTCCGCCCCCCGCCCCCCCGCCACGCCCGCCCCCGCCCGCCCCCCCCCGCCCACGCCCGCCCGCCCCCGCCCACTCCGTCAGGCCCCTGCCCGCTCCCCCCGCTCTCGCCCGCTCCCGCCCGCTCCCGCCCGCTCCCGCCCGCTCCCGCCCGCTCCGCCCGCTCCGCCCGCTCCCGCCCGTCCCGCCCGCTCCCGCCCGCTCCCGCCCGCTCCCGCCCGCTCCCGCCCGCTTCCGCCCGCTCCCGCCCGCTCCCGCCCGCTCCCGCCCGCTCCCGCTCGCTCCGCCCGCTCCCGCCCGCTCCCGCCCGCTCCGCCCGCTCCCGCCCGCTCCGCCCGCTCCCGCCCCCTCCCGCACGCTCCCGCCCGCTCCCGCCGCTCCCGCCGCTCCCCCGCTCTCCCCCCGCTTCCCGCCCGCTGCCCGCCCGCACCCGCCCACCGCCCGCACCGCCCGCCACCGCCCGCCCGCCCCCGCCGCCCCCGCCCCGCCCCCCCCGCCCCGCCCCCGCCCACTCTCCCGTCAGCCCCTGCCGCTCCCGCCCGCTCCCGCCGCTCCGCCCGCTCCGCCCGCTCCGCCCGCCACGCTCACCTTCTCCTGCCCACCATGGCTCGCCACGGCCCGCCACGGCCCGCCACCGGCTCGCCACGGCCCGCCACGGCCCCGCCCCCCCCGGCTCCCATCCCCCGGCCCATCGACCCCAGTCGCCCCCGCCGCGGTTTTCGCGCGTTTTCGCGCTCGACGGTCTGTCATCGCGCTCCGCCTCGCCGCCGCCCGCCGGCAGGTGCCTGGCGCCATTCGTTCCCGCCGCTGAGCCCTATGCCGCAGGCCGACTCGCCAGTGCGCGCGATCCTCCGCCGGCAGGTGAACTGGAATCGATTTCGGCGGGAGGACGAGCGATGATTGAATTAGGTAGGCGATTCACAGAAGTCGATTGTGAACCGGTTTTGTACTTACAGTGTGTTGCCCTTTCTGCTGTGGAGAAGCGTTTGAAAGTAGTGCACAATTTGAAACGTTTGGGTCGATTTTGAAGGCGGAACGGACAATTACCGTGGAAAAGGGTAAGAATGAACGGCTTTTCCCCACCTGTGTTCAACAGATTATAGGGGTCGATGAGACTCATTAAAATGAATTGGATACGTAAGACATCCTTACTTCAATTTGGGTTGGAAGGCTGAGCGTTGGAAATAATTACCGTGTATGTGCTTCAGTATGTTATCGTAAAGCTGTGCATTAACATACTGTCATTGATGTTTTTATATTTTTATAGATTAAGTGCGAATTAAGAAATACGCACTTTTTTAACATTTGTTATCGATATATTTGGTTTAAATATTTAAATGTTTTCTTGGTCTTCGATTTGCTGATCTGTGCAGACAGTTCAGTTTTTCAAGTCTTAAAATTTCCCGATATTATACCGACTGACAGTCAGCCAGTTTGGCCTCTCAACGCCAATTGGACCACGGCCTATCTGCTCGGAAACTTACACTAATATTGACTCAGCCCGTAAAAGCCTTCCCTGCCCCCAAACATTGTTTCATATTGTTCACATTGTTTCATCTATTCTCTGCGAACACAGAGTTGAATATGTTTACGAAAATGCAATTGAAATATTTTATACTTATCAAGATCTATACATGAATATTGTAGAAAACTACAGCAAATAAATGCTGTAGTTGAGCTCATCTTGGAAACGCCATGCGCCACATAAAATTATAAACACGGATTATTTTGGAAATGTACAAATTTGTCAGCTCACTGCTGGACATTGCTTTGGGACATCACTAATCTTCGCCCATAAAAACACTCTTTCTTCGAACTTAAAATATTCGCCATCTGCAGTTCACTAACTCAACTCTATGCTCACACAAACACGGGAGACCAAAGCCTTCTTGAAGTTCTCGACACAGAACCAAACGACGCGGGGGGGGGGCAAGGGGGGGAGGAGAGGAGGGAGAATTTGAATTAAGATCACTGTGGAGTAATGAAATGGGTAAAAAACCTGAACGGTATAAGTGACATTTTATAAATTCTGATAAATAGATTTAAGTCAATATCACTGTAAAGCCTTGCTGCTTTGTTTCATCATTAATACCACGGCATTTCAATTGTTCATTAAAACCACGAAAATTCATTGTCACAGAAATATAGCCTGAAATGAACACGTTTTTCTCAGAATTTATAAAATGTCACTTAAACAGTTCTGGTTTTCAACCATTCAATTGTGAATTTTTGTTCACTTAAAAATCTATTGACGTTACAAATGAATTGTAAATATCGTGAAAACATTAAGATGTACGAACAATGGCATTAGAATTATTGTTTCTATCAATGGGGTTTAATCTCGGGTATCAAAGGGACCAGACTGCGTAGGCAACAAGCAGGTTCACGGGGTCAATCATATTTTGGCTAAGATGGTGTATTTAACTCTTGAAATAAAAAACAACTAAATTTTGTATGGTATGTAAAAGAACCTAATTCACGCTGATTCAGAAATATGTACGCAAACAATTAACATTTTTTTGTTATGAATATTTAATATTGGACAGGGCATTATGAATATTTAATATTGGATTGGAAAAGTGCAAAGAGGGACATAACTAGCGAGACGCTTTTGTTCCTTTCACAATTAATAAATCTTAACCACAATAAATGGGTAAAGTAGAAATACTATTCCACAATGAAAAATGTATTTTACTCTAAATTAAGATCTGACATTCGAGCATACATGTGTGGAGGAATTGTACCTCACTTTCAGTGCTCCCAAAAATACCACAACCCATCGGCGACCCGGTCATTTACCCCCTCCTTATTGTTATTTATGGGTTCACATGTTCAATAATCACCATATCATCACTCTCTCGCTAAATGTCAACTTGCGACACGTTTCTTAGATATCTAGTTTATAATATTCTGTCACATCTCTGTACACACTTCTTCAAAAATAAGCTATTCATTTACTTCGTGAACTCAGGAACATTAACTTAATGATTGATGTTGAAAGTTCATAATTACTATGCAGTTTGTATTTGCGTCTTCTTTCTAATCACAAACCTTCTAAACTGAGTTTCTGTAGAATCACAACTTCGTATTTGTACGCTGAATTACTTCGGAACAAGCCCGTGCCACAACCGCATTCCGTCTCCTCCTTTGGGGTGATTATTCTGGTTCGCAGTGATATGATCACTTTCGCGCGACAGCCGTCGTGAGATTGGTGTCGCCCGCGCTGTAAAAAGTCATGACGTCAAGAAGATTAAAGGCCGATTCGCGCGAGATAGATTTTGACCATTGAGGAAACGAAATTCGGAAGGCTACGGAGGCGAGTGTTTTCGTGGCCGTCGTTTGTGTCGCTGTGGAATAGCAGTTGCGATGGAGCGCGTCAACATCGGAGCAACGCAGGAAGAGGAATTTCATAATTTTCCGTTTGTTCTTTTATCTTGTTGACAGTTTTCCTGTATTCCTGCAGTTTTCTTTCATCAAGGCCGTGCACCTTCACATCGACACTACTACTATTGTACTACTACTCGGACACTAAAAATTGTCATTATTATTTCCATATTGGTACTTAGGTTATTCATTTGGCGATGGCCCTTTTCTTTCGAAAGTAAAGAGTAATTGCTTTAAATTACATTGCTAGCAAGGAAATGCAAAGCTGCAATGTTTGTTTTGTACTTTTTTTAAATCTTGTAAATAATATTGAAGTGATGTTAAAAAGATTCCAAAATATGTTCCAATTACCTCTGATTACATTTACCCTAATTACAATAAAAAGGAATATTGAAAAAAATGAGTAAGTAAATAAACACGTCATGTGTGTTTGAAAAAGTTCACGAAAACCTTGTTATCGATGCTGCACTCGGGGGAATGCGTTCTAAGTCCAACAACCTCGTTTGTTCCTACTACAGCGGTGTTCTCCAGTGAATTCTTACACGCGGACCTCTCTTGTAGGAGGAAGGCAGAGATAGTGAAAGCGAGGTGGCTCTTCCGCCGGGGAGCGCCCGAGACTACAGCCGCCTACGCCACGCCAGTGCCTCGGGTCGCCGCCGCGAGGAAGGGCGTGGGGGTGCAGGGACGTGCGGGGGTGTAGAGGGGCGTGGGGGAACCGAAAGGTTGAAAGGGCGAGGAGGGGTGTGTGTGTGTGTGGGGGGGGGGAGGGAGTGAAGGGGTGTGTTGGATGCGTGGAGGGGTGTAGGGGGGCGTTGAAAGGTGTGGTAGTAAACTAATAGTCGGATTGAAGCCTGGTTTGCACCATTGAATTTCTCGTTTAGAACTGTACTCGCATCCGTGATTTCAGAAGGAAGCGACGAAATTATTTTTTCACCAATTTTTACCCTAAATTTCTAACTTGGGGCACAACTTGTTTTCACGCATATATCCTAAACAAATAGCCGGATGGAAGTCTGGTCTTTTCCATTGAATTTATCGTCTAAAACTGTACTCACATACGTAATTTTAGAGAGTAGCGACGAAATTCATTTTTTCCTTAATTTTTCACTAAATTCCTGAATTTGGGAACTACTTTGTTTAACGCGAATTTTCAAAACTGATAGTCAGATTGAAGTCTGGTTAGCTCCATTGAAATTCTCGCCTACAACTGCACTCACTTACGCGATTTCCGAGAGAAGCAACCAAATACATTTTTTCCAAATTTTTTTCACTAAATTCCTCAATTTGGGCACAACTGTGTTTCTATACGTATTTTCTAAACTAATAGTGGGATTGACGCCTGGTTTGCACCATTGAATTTCTAGTCGAGAGTTGTACTTACATACGTGTTTTCAGATATATACTACGAAATTAGGTTTTTACCCAGTTTTTGCCCCATTTTCGGGATTTGGGCTTAATTTGTTTTAAAGCGTTCA